AATCTACAAGATGCGTAAACTTGTCTAAGACCGGCTGCTACTAAAAATATAAGCCTTCCAACACCGTACCGTATGTACCAAATCACGAATTGTCACCTTAGATGAGTCAGTTTAGTTTATTTTTATTCATGTATGTTATGAATGGGGTACTAATACACTGCGACCTAAACAATATATTCTGCTTCCTTCTGTTACTAATGCAGTAAGAAAATATCGTCGCTGTCTATAATGGCCCTTCTATTTGTATCTTCTCAAGGAAATGTAGAATTGGGAGTGGTTCCAATTTAGGTAAATTGCCCTCTTCTATTTGGTATGCCCCTGCGTACAGTGTCCTTGGATTATGGAGTATTACACATTCAATCAAAATGTGTATGGCCCGCATTTCAGTCTTACTTAGAAAGCGAACTTTCGTCTCTTTTTATATCTTCCAATTATTCAGACAAAATACTTCAACTGATTAACGCTATTTCTTCAGCTGCATCCAAATCTATGCCTACTAAAAAACCTTTTACCCCTTTATCTCCTAGGCCCTATTGGTGGGATAAGGACTGTTCAACCATGGTTAAAAATCGTGCAGAAGCGTTAAAAAAATTCAAAAAATAAGGAAATTTTAATAACTACCTACACTATCAAAATATTGCTGCTAAGACTAAACAGTTGTTCAAATCATAACAAAGAATTAGTTGGAGGTCTTTCCTAAATAAATTAAATAAGGGTACTCCTATATCTGAAATCTGGCACCTTGTTAGATCTATCACTAATAAATATCACCAAAAAAAAGAAGCCCCCTTTAGGCAAACAATTAATTAAAAATATTCTGGATAAACTAGCTCCCCCATCTGTTCCTGGTAACCTTTTTAGTTGTTATATTAATGTTTTTCAATTTATTTCCAATTCAAATCCTTCATCTATTCCATTTACTCATGAAGAACTAAATTTAGCTTTAAAAAAGAGCAGAAATTCTGCCCCAGGACTGGATGGATTCACATATAAAATTTTGACAATCTTCCTGAAGTAGGAAAAAATTATTTTTACAGTTTTTTAATAATTGGTGGTTAAAGCAAGAATATTCTGATATATTCAAAAATATAATCATTTGTCTTGTACTTAAACCAAATAAAACCATAGATGTCCCATCATCCTATCGACCTATCTCATTAATGTCATGTGTTTCCAAAATCTTCGAGAGGATGATAAAATTTAGACTAGAACATTTTGTTGAAAGTAGGTATCTCTTGCCTAGCACTCAGTACGGATTTCGTAGAGGTCAAGGCATAATTGATGCCTTAACATACTTAACTACTGACGCACAAATTTGTTTCTCCAAAAATAAGTATATGTTATGTTTATTCATAGATTTAACAGGCGCCTATAATGTGGTTGATCTAGGTATTTTACAATCTAAGATGAATAAAATTGGCATCAATAATAAGGTATCTGCAAACATAATTAACTTATTTATAAACAGAAAGATATTTGTCCGTGATCATAAAAATTTACTACATGGCCCGAGAACCGTATATAATAGTCTACCACAAAGAGCTGTTTTAAGCCCACTTCTTTTTAATATATATACAGTAGAATTGCATGATTTGATGGATGATACCAATAAAATCATCCAATATGCAGATGACATATGCTTTTATACCATCAAAAATTCATATTAACGATGTATGAGAGACTTGAAATATGTATTTTATTGTTTGAAAGACTGGATTAGTGACATGGGTTTTAGTATTTTACAGGAGAAATCAGCTATCATGTGCCTTATGCGACACAGACTTGGAACTGCTGAATACTGCTCATTAATTGACTTGATTATACCCATAGTTAGTGAATACAAATACCTTGGTTTAGTTATAGATAAAAAATTGCCATGGACTAATCATATAAATTACATAAGGCAAAATTGTGATAAGGGACTTAATCTCCTACGTGTAGTATCTAAAAATAAATGGGGTGCAGACCCAAACATTGCGATCACATTTTATAAATCTTATATTCGTTCTATACTGGATTATGGATGTACTCTTGGATCGACGAGTAATTCAACAGTGTAGCGTTAAAGTTTCCTTGGTTTGGGTTAAAGGACATTGTGGCATTGCAGGAAATGAACATGTAAATAGGGCTACTAAAGAAGCATGTAGTTAAGATCAAATTACATTATTTTGTAGTTTTATAGATATTATTAACATTTATAAAAAAGATGTCAGAAATAAATGGGAAATTAAATACACTGAGCATGCGAAGGCATCACAAAGTCACTATTATAGTTTACATCCAAATCTTCCTAAGAATATTCCTTACATAAGTTCATGGAACTATAATAAATATCAGTCATCTATAATTACTCTTTTGAAGCTCAATCACGGCCGGTTTCCTGCACATTTATGTAAAATTGGAATATTGGATTCTCCCTTTTGTCCATATCGCAATATAAACGCTGTAGCAGATATCAATTATTTATTTTTAGATTGTAATAAAAATGCTGAACATACCACCGCATTATATCAAGATTTAAATAAACTTTCACTCCCTCTTCCACTCAATATTTCTTTACTTTTAGTTCAATCAGATAAGATAATTTTTGACGCTATTATTAAATTTACTCAAAATACTAAAATAGATATTTAACATAATATATATGAGAATTATCAAGTTTAAACTTTCTGTGGTAAATAGACTTACATGTCTGATGCCATCCATCCATTAAAAAAAAAAATAATGGTTTCGTATGGTTTCGTTCTCCTCCTTAATGAATCTGCAGTTACTATCTCCTACTAATCCCAGTCTTCTAAGGCGTTTAGCCATGCCCGGTATGGATCCCTATTACAATGCTTAGGATTTAGATCTGTGTTAGTTATATTCAACCAGTAGTAACTTAGTAGTTGAGTAGAAAAGTTATGTTATTTATATCCTTTCCTTTTTTTAAATCAAAATTTATATTTTCTTGTATCATATTTACCTAATTTGTTTTCACTGTAAATCGCAGCAAATCAGTAAAGCTTTAATATATTACTTTGCTCACGATAGTCATTAGTAGAGGTGCCGTTTGGTAAAATATAATGTTTTTACATGCCGTCAGGGCATATTTCATTTCGTTATCAGATGACAGCCAAAATTTGCAGTGAGCTCTTGAGCTAATACTAGAAATTAATTAAATCATAAGATTGTATTTTTATGTCATTTACTTGGAAATTAAATTATTGTATTTTTATAACCTTTAAATTAATTATGGATATTTCATAATTTTATTTAATAATTAGTAGAAAATCTAAAATTGGTAAGAAAATACACAAAATCAGTCCTACATAGAACATTTTTATTGAATGTAACATGACAACCGGATTTAGCTACTAGGTCATCGTCAGATCTATAACTAATGAGCAAATAGAGGTTACAATATCTTAATATTGAAATATATTACCTGAGTTAAAGTAAAAGTGCGTAGAATACTGCAAACATCTTCCAGATGGTTAAAAATATCAAATACTAGAGAACTAGAGTACCAAGCTCCGACTCCATACAACATGGACGAAGAAACTTATTAGAACAAAGAAATGGGAAAATATATATTTAAACATGAAATGGTATTTATATTAATAAACAAAAATTAGAAACATATACTAGGAAAATACTGCAAATGGTGGATGAGAGAAAATATAGTGAAGGTTTTGACCAACAGCGAATGTTTAGACATATATGTGGGTCTTATATGAGATGTCCAAAAATTAAAAAACTTTGATTTATTCGTTAATTTTTTTTAACGATTAGACATCAAATTTGTACCTTCGCCCAAAACTGTGTCTGAAAATTTGCTGTTTATCAAAACGCCCCCCTATCATTACTCATCTACGATTAGAAGTGCTTGCCCATGTCAGAGCTTAGTACCAGAGACAACAGAGACGTGTAACTTAATAGGAAAATTTGTTCGGTGATCCATTTAAATTATATATATGACTTTCTTTCTCTTTTACATTGATCTTTACATATATTTATCTCTCTCCAGTAAAACTAACACCAGTCTTAGAGGTCGCTGATGTTGCTGGTTTTTTGACGTGGACGTGTGACAACTGACAATGTTATACATGTTGTTATGAACGTGTGCATTTTATTCAAATTAATTTAATTTGAGTCCTGTTTATTTCTTTGAGTTGTGGGGGGGGGTGTTTATTTTCGCATAATATTTTTTGAGTGAAGCAGTTTCTGGAACCAAACTCGCGTTTTTGTACACGTTTCTTTCCAGAGGGGTAAGTAATTTCCAATTTATTAATAAAATAAACAACAACTGTATAATGTGTGTGTTTAATAATATATACCAAATGGCTATATTTATTTTAGGTGAATTGGAACACAGATCAATTGGCACTTGGGGGGGTAAAGGGGTATAAGTCCAAAATATTCAAAATTGAGTTAAATCTGCCATGATACTTCTAAACTCATTCTGTACCCCCTGGGAAAAGGGATATAAGTCATTTAAGCCTTACAAATGCGATATTTTTAATTGTGAAAAAGGAAATAACTACAGAAAATGTATATTTTTTTGTGAAAAGTGGGGTAAGTTTTGTTAGAGCTTACTCACGAATACAATTTTAACAACATTTTTTGTGAAAAGAAATATAAATATACTTATACTTTTTTTTTTGTTTTAATTATTTGGGAAAAAGGGTGTATGTTGACATATTTCCCTTTTCAGATTTTCTTATATTACTATAAAAAATAGTTAAAAAAGGAATAAGTATACTTATCTCCCTTTTCCCTAAAAACTTGTTTGATCTTTGCTTGAGGACAAAGGTATAATTAAATTTATATCTTTTAACACAATTCCGCTCATCAAAGTTGCGCGGTACAAATATACTTATCTCTGTTTTCCCGGCTTGCGAATTCGTAATATGGAAGTAAACAATATGACTTGTTTTCAGTGATACAAAAAACGCCGTGAAGTAAGGTTGGTGTAACAACAACAAAGTAAAAAATATTGTGTTTTTAAGTCGTTACGGTTAACAATGAGCTTAACTAATTATTAATAAACTATACTAGTGAGCGTAATTGTTGCAAATTCAAATACCGGCATAAAAAGTGTTTTTTGGTTTATTTTGTGTGATTGCAAAATCAAGGTTATGTATTCTAACCGCCCAAAACGACTTCAGTTTTTAAGAAGTTATGTTGACGATGCCTCTATTAGAAGCGAATCAAAATGTAAGTACAACTTTATTATCCAACAAAACCTAAATTGTATTGTTATTTTTTTCTCGATTAGGTACAAATTTATTCTACAGTATGATTCAATTGTATGGAATAAATTCATATTTAGCTAAACAATCAATTTTAAGAAAATTTCCTAAGACAGATCGATTTTTGTTTTTAATATATATTTTTACGTAATATACAGGGTTAACCATCTGTGAGTAGTGATTTCATCGACAATTTTTTTAAACTGCTAACCCTGTATATTTTATTTTTAGGATTTTAACATTTCGATGGGGTGCCAAAAATATATCACACTCACTATGTTCGGTTATTAATAGTTTCGTATGATGCAAATGGATGGAATAAATTAATTTTTAGCTGAACAATCAATTTTGAGAAAAAATCATAAGACAAGTCGATTTTTGATGGTTTACCCTGTATATTTACATATTAAGTGAAATTGGAATAAATTAAAAATCGACGTCTCAGGATTTTTTCTCAAAATTGATTGTTTAGCTAAAAAAGAATTTATTCCTTACATTAGCATCACACAAAATTATTAATTATCGAACATAGTTAGTATGATATATTTTTGGAATCGTCTTGAAATTTACAATCTCAAAAAAATATACAGGGTGTATCATTTAAAAAAATTGTCGATGACATCATTACTCGCAGATTGTTTACCATGTATATTTACATATTACGTAAAAAATACGTTAAATTAAAATCTAAAATCTACCTGTCTTTTTCTTAAAATTTATTGTTAAGCTAAAAACGAATTTATTCCTTTCGTTTTCATCATATTGTATACTTTTTATAAGAGAATAGAAAATCATAAAAACACATTTTTGGCTTTTAGATATTGACAAAGATACATCTGAGCCACTTATACAACAGGCTTTAAGATGTGCTAATAGTAGCTCTGTACCATCTTTGGATCCATGTTCACAAGAACATAGTTCGGTGGTTACCAATGAACCAATCTTGGACAATACTGGCGAATCCCTTGGAATGCTTTTACAAGATAATGTACCAAAAAATGCTGCTTATTATAATACAGAATCGAACACTAAAATAAACATTAATGGTAAGAACATACTCATTTTCAAACAAAAATAATTAAAAGAACTATTTATATTAACATACGTTATTGTGGTTTTTAGGTAATGATAAAGATGCGTCTACACCAATTGTCCAACATATTTCTGCGCTTATACAACAGGATTCAAGCAGCGTTAACAGTAGTTCTGCACTATCCTTGATTCCATGCTTACAAGAATTTTCGGAGATTATTAATCCAATATTGGTCGATACTGGCGAATCCATTGGAATGCTTCTACAGGATAATGTAACAAAAAATGCTGCATATCATAACATAGAACTAGATACCATAATAAAGAATAATGGTAAGAACATACCTACCCACAAATAAAAACAATTACAACTATTTATATTAACATACATTGTTGTGATTTTTAGGTAATGACGAAGATGCGTCTGCACCAATTGTACAACCTATTACTGCACCGCTTATACAACAGGATTTAAGCAGCGTTAATAGTAGTTCCCCACTCTCTTTAAATCCGTGTCTACAAGAACAATTTTCAGACATTATCAATGATTCAATCTTAGTCAATACTGGCAAATCTAGCGCAATAGATAATAATATGCTTCATCTAAAACACAATAAAATATTTGCCGATGAACCATCAACCTCAGAGAGAATTTGGAATAAAAACTACATAATGATGGAGGACAGTGATGACAGTGTAAAAGACAAGCTTTATGAAAAAGAAAGTAGTGACAGCTCTTCCGAAGGTGAACCGATTTCGACAGATTTAAAATTGCAGAAGAGGAAAATAGAAAACGATAAGTCGAAAAATAAAAAAATTAAATTTAAAAACATGCATTTTAGTCAAGATTCTGATAATATTCACATAAACGAGAACAATACAATCGGGAACAGTAAGAGAATTCAAAAAGGAGAAACACGATTAGTAAGGAATGAGCGGAAAACTAAGCGCAACCTAGGAGATCAGTATCTAACAAAAACAAACAAAATCATACCACAAAGAAAATGTAGGGATTTACATGAATGCAGATTAAAATGCAGTAAAAGGCTAGAAGATGAGGTAAGAAAAACCATATTAAACGAATACTGGTCTATGGGCAGTTTTAATAAAAGGGTAGCTTATATTGCAACGCTTGTATCTACCCGAGAAAAAGAAACCACTCGTGCTAAAAAAACAGACAAAAAGCACAAAAATAGAAGTGTATCTCATACATATCATTTGCGTATTAATGGGCAACTGACAAAGGTATGCAAAAAGTGCTTTCTATTAACCTTTGACGAGAGTAATAAGTTTTTAACGAATGTTATTAAGAAAAAGGAATATTCACTTTCTGGAATAACATTGGAAGATAGAAGAGGTAAAGGAGTCCCATACAATAAAACTTCTGAAGAAGCTTTAGACCTAGTTAAAAATCACGTCTCTGCTTTACCGTCTTATAAAAGTCACTATTGCAGAAAACAAACGGAAAACAAATTTCTTCCATCCCATTATACGCTCACAAGAATATATGAAGAATATAAAAAATGGATTCCTGAAACAATGACGCCAGTGAGTCGAAGAATATATGAAGATGTGTTTCGTAGTATGAAGATTAAGATAAAAAACCCTAAAAAAGATAATTGTGCTAAATGCGATAAGATTCATATGCAGCATAAAAATACGTCAGATACCGTTAAAAAGCAAACATTTGAAAATGATTTAAACAAGCATCAAACAGATGCCAAGTATGCTTACGAATCAAAGAAAAAAGATATACAAGAAGCTTTGCATGATAAGTCTAAATCTGTATTTACTTTCGATCTACAGCAATTCTTGCCACTCCTGATATTCAAACGTCAGTCGTTTTTATAAGCGCCAACTATGGACATTCAACTTGACGATTCATAGGTGTGAGGACAAACAAGTTTTCTGTTATATGTGGGATGAAGCCACGGCTGGAAGAGGCGCTAACCAAATAGCATCATGCCTCTATAAACAGCTGATAGATAATTTAGATCCAGAAATAAAAACATTGACTTTTTATTCCGACACATGTGCCGGGCAAAACAAAAATTCTTTTTTGCCTATTATGTTCATGCTACTTATGAGAGAAATAAAAAGTTTAGAAAACATCAATCATAAGTTCTTAGAGCCCGGACATACGCATATGGAATGCGATACAGATCATTCTATTATTAAAAAGAAAAAAAAGAAACATGAAGCTCCCATTGAACACCCACGTGATTGGATGCAACTTGTACGCATGTGTGGCAAGACATAACCATTTAAAGTGATTGAGATGAAAAGAAAAGATTTTCTTGAGTTTTCAGCTTTACTTAAAACGTATTTCATAACCAAAAAAAAAAACAAGACTGGAGAGCAAGTAATATGGAGAGATATAAAATGGCTCCGATATTCTGCAGATCAGTTTGGAATAGTACAATACAAAACCACTTTAAAATATGAAGAACCGTTTAAAAAGATTGATTTTAAACGTAAATCAAAAATTTCAATGCCCAATATCATTAAGCCCCCATTAAGCTATAAAGGACCTGTCCCAATTAATCCAATGAAAAAAGAAAATTTAATTGGACTATTGCCATATGTTGATAAGACCTTTTATTCATTTTATCAAAATCTTTGTACGAAGGATAATATTCCAAATGCTCTCCCATTAAGCGATGAAGAGTCAAGCGATTAATAGTAATGTTTTGTTATTTTAAACAAAATTATATAGTCTGCTTTTATTATGATTTGTTTATTTTTAAATTTAATAAAAAAAAAATTGAAAAAGTATGATTCAAATTTTTTATTTAATCAGGGAAAAGAGGTATATGTTCGTTTTTTTTAATATTTCACGTGTAAAGGGGTATAAGTAATATTTTTTTTCGTAAAAATTATCATATTTTAATTATTGCTACATACAATTCGTTAAGGACAAAAAAATACCTAGTTTCATAAAAAAATTGGGGATAAAAAATAACCGTTATTCAAACGCGAATATTATAACTTTAAACTCAGTTTTTCATAATTGTTGATTTAGAACATATACCCTTTTACCCCCCCAAGTGCCAATTGTTACAGCTACTTTTGTTTATTAAGTAGGTAGATGATGTTTCGACAGCTTTAATGGCAGCACAAAGTTCCCACCTACTAGAAAAGAAGTAAAATGTACGCTGAGTAAAAAATATCTGCACATGTAGTCTAATATTAGAAGATTTTCTTGATAATAAGCATTGTCCTGTTTATATGATGATAGTATGTCATCCTTTATTCCCTTTTAGAAGGTATGGTATATGAATCTATTGATTTTGATGACCCTAAGAGGAGTTAGGGGGGTGGACGGAATGGGTCTAGCAGGTTTCAATCCAGTTTACAGGATGGGAACTTACTCGACTCGGGCCTTATACATTTGTGTGAGTTTATGTGTGTGAATATTTGTTTCGTTTCCATAGATTCTTTTAAAATAAACAGTCATAACATATCGATACTTTTTGCCAGAGTAACGTAAGCGACTTTTTTGTTTAAATGGCACTCTATAATTTATAAAATATTTGTTTAATTATTTTTTAAATATATTATGAATATATAACAACTGTGACTTTCTTTGTAATTTGTCACAACATGATACGAGGTACTTTGTAAACGTAGTATCTGTATCTGTAACGTGTGAAGGGTAAGTTATCCTCACGGCACTTAGGCCTCACTAGGCCCATTGTAAACGTAGTAATAGTAGTTTTTTTTTCTGTACCTTACCAAAATATAATTTATAGAAAAAGAGTTTGTTGTATTATTTTTCCAAATTTAAATATTTAATATTCAATAGAATTTTAAAGTTCCTCTAGCGAAATTTACAATAGTATTAAAAACTATGTTCACTGCCTCTATTAAACTATGACTAAAACTTCCTTCATTTGGAATGAATATTTATATGATAAAAAAATTGATGTTATTGGAAGCTTTTACATTTTTTAATATACAGTGAAACAATAGTTTTTGTTTCTCTTGTAAATGTTTATAGAAAAACTTTTTATTTCTAAATCCATGTTTGAATCTCTGCCCTTAACCATTTTTAAATTTTCCCGCTATTTACTAGTGGCGCCATCATAGACTGGTTTCCATTACAATCGCCCAAACAACTTTTACCGAACAAAAAAAAATACATTGAGTTACACGCCTCGCTGGGTTGTCTCTGTTGGTACTTTACATTATCATATACTTAGTATTTTATAACAATTTTGGATACGTCCACAGTATTGTACGCGCCTTTTATTTTTGGGTATTAATATCGTGTATGTTAAAAAACGCTTGGAAAGGTCGATTTTAGTTTAAAGGGGAAAACTTTTTTTTTGTTGTAGCACATCGTCACTTTAACCCCTATAATTAAAACAGAGAAAGTACAATGGATAACACATCATTGAAAAGGCAATTTTATGAAAAATTCGGCAGTAAGTCTATTTATTGCCTATTTTTTTAGCGTCCACTTGCTTTATGAAAAACTATTACATTTTATAAAGTTTGGCGTATTATTTTAAAGATCAGTTTATTAGTAATTTAATGCACTTCATAACAATAATCTAAATGTCTTCATATTACACTTGCAACAGTCTGAAAATTAGTCATTGTTTGCATTATTACTAACTTTATTTGGTTTTCCCCACAGCTGAAGAGTTAAAGTGGCTAAGGTGTAAAAAGTGTGCCTTTCCAAACTAAAATCGACCTGTTTGAGCGTTTTTTAACGATATTAATATCCAAAACCCCCAAATAAAGTTTTCGTTGGATCACCTTGTGTATTAAAATAGCACAATTGGAGTGGATTGTCCGTATTTACTCTTTTTGCACACAATATTGTTTTCTACATTCAATATAAATTTTTCTTTTCATTAATTTGCATTCATAAAATATGTAATCAAAAGGTGTTAAAAAAGAGCCATTGTTTTTAGTTAAAAAGGTAATGGAAATTTTATACACCACGTTCTTTTCCAATTAATTTGTATGAGCTGCTTTGTTTTATAATTTGATTCCCAAAGTGAGGACTTTTATTGAGTTTCTCATATTTCCGATTTTACATAACGCTCAATCAAACTTCAAACGATAAATTTATTCCGTTTAATTTGCTCGTATTTCTCCTGGCCAATAAGGCATAGAAAAATCCGATCAATATATTATTATTATACATTTCGACAAAATTTTGAGTTTTTATTTCTTTCTAAATTTGACGTTGCTTACAGTAACTAACATAGACGACAAATTGACATACATACTTACAAAGGCTCCAAAGTTTTCTCAGTAGAATAAAACTGATATTTTCACAAGAACAGAGCGGTTTTTCTTACCTGCAAAAAATAAAATCGAATTAATAAAAATTCTAAATTATTTGGGTACAAGAACATAAAAGAATTTACAAAGGGTTAAATCAGACCAACAACTATTTAATCGTAAATGACTTAATAACTTGCGTATTAAAATATTTATGCTGCTATAAGTGATTTAACAAAAAGGCGTAAGCGGCTTGAAATTGTTATTGCACTAAATTCAAAAAAACATGTTTTCGCTTTATATTTTAATTCTTTTCGTACATTTTTTGTATAAACCATAATACCATTTTTGTCGCTTATATCTTCAAAAAATATTCTATTTTTAAAAAATATATACCATTTTGTAAAAACCCAGTAATTTTTCTGTTGCTTATTTTACTGATTTAAAACATAATAATAATAATAATAATAATAATAATAATAATAATAATAATAATAATAATAATAATAATAATAATAATAATAATAATAATAATAATAATAATAATAATAATAATAATAATAATAATAATAATAATAATAATAATAATAATAATAATAATAATAATAATAATAATAATAATAATAATAATAATAATAATAATAATAATAATAATAATAATAATAATAATAATAATAATAATAATAATAATGAAAAAGTTATTTCGAAAGAAAATTATATTATTTTCAAATATTTGAAAGTTCCAAATTATCAAATACTTAAACAAACATGAGAAAAACAGAAAGAGAAAATCTGATGTGTCCAACACATGACTTTCCTATCTAGTTATTACAACAGGCTTTTTCTGGTTATTTTGTACAACCTATTGTAGCACCTCTGCAAATATTTAGAGGTTAACTTAATATATACTTTTTCCACATAAATGTAACTCGAAACATTTTTCTATGTACACTCATTGCCAACCAAAATGCTGAAAAATTTAAATTTTATACTTTTTCTTCAATTTTTCCATTACGTTCCATTTTAGAGAAATCTTGTAAAATACAAAAATTATAGAGATCGATATCCTAAAAATCAGAATTTTTTACATTTTGATAAATTTCTCAAATACGAGCCATTTTAGGAAAATTTTGTATAGAACAAAAATTATAGATATAATAATAATATAATATTAGAAGTAACTTTTATATGAACAATTTTCTTCTCCAAACAAAAATAACTAATATATTCCATAACATATAAAAACGAGCCTCTAAAAGTACCACCAGACGTTCCGACTCTGTCCAAAATCTAATCAGTTCACCTCAGGCGGGAACAAAGCTTAAGTTTAAAATTTAATGTGTTTTTATTTATCCGTTTTTGAGTTTTCTTAAAAATTCGAAATTTACACTTTTTGTCAAATATCTCGAATATGGTCCATTTCAGAAAAATTATGTATAAAACAAAAATTTTAAATAATTATGTCACAATAACTTTTATTTAAACAATTTTCATAAAAATTTTATTTTTTACATTTTGTCAGATTTCTCGAGAACGGACCATTTAAGGAAAATTTTGTATGGAACAAAAATTATATAGAATAATATAAGAAGTAACTTTTATTTTAAGAATTT